ACCCTAAACCCTAAACCATAAAGGAACCCTTGAAGGGGCCCTAGAAGGGGCCCTTGAAGGCCTGAAGGGTTCCCTTTGCGGGTTCGTTGAGGCTTAGGGTTTAAGGGTTCCTTTGAGGGCTCCTTTAGGGGTGCTTGTAGGGTTGTGTAGGGTGGCAATGGGCGTTAATGGGCCCCTAATATGAGTTGGTTTCTTTAAGGTCTCTTTAGCCGGTAGCGCAGTCTTTAAGCGCATGCATACTACAATTTCAGACACAGTGACAGTGCTGGATCGGAGCAGTTTACCCTGGTTTCCTTGCTTGCCTCAGCACTTTGACCAGCAGCATAAGTGTCTTTCGAGAGGTAGCTGATGTCTTGTTTTCCCGGACTGTTGAGGCTCGTGAATGGCACATGCATTGTTCAAGGGTTGTACGATCAGGGTCTCGTCACGTTGTTCGGTTTGGAGAAGGTTCGAAACGTGCTCTCCAGCGAGGAAGAGCTACATTGAAGGCTGTAACAATACCAAAGAGCCCGTCCTCGTTCAGGGTTTAGGGTTTCTTATGTTGCTTTCGAGTGTTTTCTTCTGGAACCTGCAAAGAACCCTTACCCTTGGGAGAACATTTGTACAATCCCGCCGGGCTTACGATGTCGTAGCCGGCCGCTAACATAACAAGAGTCACTCTTGAACACGTATGATATGGTTTAGTGTCCTGTATATACTGTGTTCTAGTGGTATTCTGGTGCCTGTTGTTGTATATGATGTGATACGGTGTTACGAGAGATGTATATATCAGGTTCTCAGGTTCGCAGAACTCAACACCCCAAAACAAACCCAACATCAAAATAGCCCGAATCCCCAAACCCAGAGCCCAAAAAGCAGTGCAGCTGTGAGGAAGTGCCAATCCGAGTTACCAAAGGCAGGGCACTAAACCCTAAACCCTAAACCCTAAAGACCCTTCATGCGGCTTAGGACTTCAGGGCTCTCGTTCCTGTAAGGCTAGTTTAGGGCTTAGGTTTAAGGGCTTAGTTCCCCAATACCCAACCTTTAACTTTTTTGGGTTCTTACCATGTGGTATCCCTGGCTTATTGGGGAAGTTAGAGGGTTCCTTTTGCAGGATCCGGTTGAGGGGTCCTTTAGATATCTTTTGCGTGTAGGCTTCAGGAGCATACGGGCTTTGCAGTTAAATGCAGGCAAACACCACGATTCCCGTTCATGATTCCCAACTCTTCTCCCACTTCCAAGGCTCGAACCCTAAACCCAGGCCCCAAGCCCTCAACCGTGAACCTGTGCTCTAGCAAAGCTGTCGGGTCTAAGTGTTCAATCGCGTTTGGGGTTCACATGAAGCTTCACATCCTACACAACTGTATGTAGGCAACAGCCATTTTGAGTCTTGGACATTTTTCGATGCAGAAGTGTCGTAGGCTTCCAGCCCACAGCTAAAGGTTTACGAACTCTTCCGAATCCGAAGTCCACTGTACGCTCCAGGCAAAGGAAGAGGCAAAGGCGCCAAAGGACCTGCGGGAAATGCGCCGGCATGAGTCCAAAAAGAATTCCGTCCAAAAAGAGTTCCAGAGGGTGCCTTGCAATTCCAGCTTTCGAAACTCAGTGCTTCCGATATGAAAATGCTACGTCGCCCAGAGATCTAATTCATGATTATGCCTCGGATTCCGCACGACACCTCATAAGATTGTTATATTCACAAATAGCAGATTTGTGTTTATTGTCGCTACTATTAGACTGTAATTCAGTATTTGTATTATATAAAGTTTTCTTCTTAGCAACGGCAGCTCTAAAGAACCAGAGCCCAACTACCACGAAAATGTTTTGGGAGTCAATAAGATATATATGAGAATTTGGAATATATATATATATATAGATATATTAATAT